GGGATGTCTACTCTTATGGAGACTGACACACAAGAACCAGAATAGTATTTTCTTCCTAAGCTAACTCACATTTGCTTTCATTAGAAAACAATAATGTGCTTTATTTCCTTGGATATTTGCTTTAAAAAGTGATTAATTTCATTTTCCAATGCTGTTAGTATTTAAGATAGCTCAACTAGGCAGACTGCTTCTCCAAATACTATCCAAAACACATTTATCTTTGGAAAGAAAGATAACAGTTATAAAAACACTGTATCCCCAAAATGCAGTGATCTTCACATGGGTGAACATATTCACACATGGAAGTGCAAATACATATGGCCATTCAAATACACATTTATAAAGACAATGAAAAATACCCAAAATAGCAATTTTATATATAAAATTTTATATTAAAATATTGCTCATAAATAAGGTGATATTAGGAATTCTACTTCCGTCTTAAAAATTATCTCTAGTAGTTTAGACTAATGTAAGACCTTATTAGGCTTCTATTGTTTTGACAGCTGAGTTACAATAGAAAATGTCCAATAAAAACACACTGTAACAGTATATTTAAGTAGTCACACATGGTGAAAGTTAGGGAGGGGCATCGAGTAATTATAAGAAAACGTCCCCAAATGAAGCCAAATGATTAACCCTAGACTAGAGTGATCCGCTTTATTAGGTAAAGATAATAAATATTATCTTATGTTTTGCAAGTACAACAACCATAAAAATGGACCGTAACTTTCTTCAAACATTTTCTAGGTGCACATGCTTGGCAGCCCAGCAGGGTGAAGCACAGGAACTACGTTCAGTTCAGTTGTTTATGGGCAGGTGTGATCTCGCTCCTGCCCGGCCAACTTGCAGGCATGGTAACTTGGAGTAGTTCTTGAGAAGCTGCTCGATGGCAACATGACGGACATGGAGCTCTGACGCCAGAGAGTCCTTTTCTTGCACTTGGTGGGTTAACTCTTCAAAAACTCCTGTGAGGATTTCAAAGGCAGTTTCAGTGTTAGCGCACAGGAAGCTAACCCTGAGACTTCGGTCTGAAGTAAACAGAGGCACCATGCACTGGGTAAAGCTCAGGATTGACAGGAAACTCATTTGATACCAAGGAAAACAGCTGTTTTCTCTGCAGCCTATCAGTGGGGATCATTCTATTGTATTTCCTGTAGACAACAGAGATGCTGTCTCCTCTCCATCAAGTGCAACTTAAGAAAGACTACAGTATACACCGCAGAAACAGTGGCCACCATTTGAGCCTCTTATCCCTTTTAACCTACAAGTAGGCTCAATCAATATATAATGACTTGTCAGAGAAATGCTCATTAATATCCAGGTCCAGAAACTCCTCTGAGAGGCTTGGAACAGATTCCCTGGATTTTCAAAAGCCTGGTTCCTATGATCGTGTATGTATGTGCTCCAGAGGAGTCATGTAAACCTTCTCCTTGAATAGCCTTTTATGGATAAATTCAATACTAATGGCCAGAAGCTCACAGGGACACCGTGAGAGATAAATGATGTCCTACGTGTAAAGAACGCAGAGTAAGTACTTAACCAATGTCAACTGGGATTACCCGTGTTAGTTTACTGTTTTCAGGTGGTTTTGCAGTTAAGTCTGCTATTGACTGAATCCATCGTCTCTGTAAGCAACTTAGAGGTCTCCAACGTGCAGCTAACTGCCTCACCGAAATTGGAAGAGCTGGAGCAAGAGGCAGTGGGGATGGGAATACTGTAGATGCTGATGTTTCTGACGATGCTACAGAATCAATTCTGTGGTTTCTTTTGAAGACCTGATAGTGAGGGTATGATTTATTTTTTTAAACAAAACCCTGACATATTTATGGACAAAACAATACATTGTCAGGGTTCTCAAAATAATCCATGCTGGTGGCTGACGTGGGACGAGAGGAATGGAAACAGGTGGTAAGGAAAACACACAGCCTTGTTTTAGTAACAGTTGACGCTGATAACGACAGGCAGTGGTCACTACGCTTACCTCACTATTTTTATGTGTTGTTTCAAATGGTTCATAGTTTATAGAGATAACCAGGGATATTACGACTGCCTTCCGGAACTACCAGGATGCATAGCCCAGGGTACCTGGCACAGTGAGTGGCCCACAGTGGAGTCAAGGATGGCAAGAGGCAGAGGTTAGCTGTAGTCCCCCTCCTACTTAGATTATTTTTCCTGATGGTCCTAACGAAACTTTCCCTTACTGTTTGCCTCAGAATCCTCAACAGGTCTATCTTGATTTCCAAATTTAAATAATGTGGACGCTAACAAATGTCCAATCCTGGGGGATATTTTTGTAGCAACATTTTCACACACAACAAAAAGCACTGAAGGCGATTCTTTACCCTGGATTTGCTGTTGGAGCCTTGAGTTCAGTTCTTCTACTTCCTCAAGAGTCATTGAGTTCACTGAAACATGAAATACATACATCGTTACCACAGACAACCTCAGAAAGTGAGTTTTTGTCAGTGTCTTCGGCAAAGAATGTGCAGCTCATTCCCAATACAACATCCAACAGAACCCCAGATCTCCATCATCGGTTCTTAAAGTGCAGCACATTGTGACCACAAAACCCTTCAGGAACACTTTTTCTATATCACTACGTCCACCATCCACAGGAAACAAGAGTTTGAAAAGGGAGGGAACGTCATCAGATTGTTGGATTCTGCTATCTTCTTTTTCAGTTTTCAGAAGTACTAGTCTCTGCCTGTTCACACTGACTCTGATTAAGCTCTGGATAAGTGACGACCTGGGGTTTTAAAACACTACTTTAAAGTACTGTGAAATGTCTATCTAGTAAAACAACCTTTACATGAAGAATTAAGAACTTGTCTAAAGACACAGTTAAGGTCCCTTTGGAGTGAAAATAATTCAAGCCAATTAAAATCACCCCAGTGAGATTCTGTAGAAAAGGTGCAGGCAAAAGAAGTCATTTAAAATTTTAAAATAAATACCCACATTAACTTCTACCCTTTAGTACATACTAAAGTATTTAGTAAATACTGTATTTAGTATACTAAATACTGTATAAGTATTTAGTAAATACTGTCAGATGTTTAAGTTGGGCTCCTGGCCAACTAGTCTATTAAGGGTTAGCAACATGGCGATGTACACTGGCCAATCGCTCCAGTTACAGAAACAGTGGGAACTCTGAATTTCCAATTCAGTCTGCTGATTCCATTCCATTTGGTCACTAAAAATGGCCAAAGAAATGATGGAGCCAATGAAAGTCAGTATAGAACACATACTCAGAAGCATTCCAGAGAAGTTTTTAAGACATCTCACATTCACTGAGGTGCATCTGTCACTTAAATATTATGTTCACCAAATCTATAATTCTACACACACACACACACACACACAGAGAGAGAGAGAGAGAGAGAGAACCAACTACCCCCCAACCCCCCAACACGAACAAACCACACAGTCTCCGCCTTTCTTCTTCCTCCCACACAACTTACGCTGTTCTCTGCTGTAATGCGGATTCTGGGGCGGGACAGTTGCCTCTGGACCAGAGCTCATCTCCTCTTTCTTCTGCGCCTGGTTGTGTGTGTGAGGCCACAGTGCATCTGAGCCTTGCAATATAGCAAGCCCAAAGTCTGTATTTTCCCCCTGCTCCAAAATCCTTTGTGTATAGCTCGAGATGGCACCCGTGTTCCCAGCGACCCCTTTGGCAGAGTACTTTGGCACCTGAGAGTCAAACTGTGGGAGCAATTTCTTATCCGGCTTATGCCTGAAATTAAACAGGTGATGTTGGGTATTTTTGGAACACTCGGGATCCAAGTCCATATCCTTATTTTGTGCATACTGTACAATCCAGTTTATCTTCTTACTCAGAATGGTTTTAACTCCTTCATAAGTACTTTTGGAAAGCTTGGATCGAGAACAATCCTGGTTTGCAATTAAATGATATTTTTCAAAGCAGTCTTTATGGCCTCTCAGTGATTTGGTATGTAGAAGACTAGATTTTCGTACTCCTAAAATGAAAAGAAGACAGAATGAAAACTCAAAAAAATACATTTTCTTAACAAAACATTACTTTAAGTACAAATGAATCTTAGTGAATTCTTGATAGAACTCATCTGCAAATTAGAGAAGAATGTTAAATATTGACACCGACAATACAAAATGTAGCCTAATCTGTGTTTCCATTTAGCTTTCTATTCAAAATGTTTTTATTCATTTACAGTATGTGTGCACTTAGATGTGTATGTGTGCACTTACATGTGTATGTGTGTTCACACAGGCTGGTGTATGTGTGGAGGCCCAAGGTCAACCAAGTGTGTCTCTCCTGGCCTGCTCTCCACCTTTATTTCTTGAGACTGAGTCCTTGCTGAACTTGAAACGCAGTGACTTGGCAAGGTGGTCTGGTCAGTGAACCCCCCTAGCCACCGCTCTGCCTATCGTGGCCAGCATTCTAGGGATCAGAGTCAGGGCCCATGCTAAAACAGCAGGGGCTTTACTTTATTGAGTGATAGCTCCAGCTCAACAGTAATATATAAAATATATTTTATATGTATTATAATATATATTACATATTATATATATATCCCCCCCCCGCGCCCCAGTTTTTTAAGATAGGGTTTCTCTGTGTAGTTTTGGTGCCTGTCCTGGATCTCACTCTGTAGACCAGGCTAGCCTCGAACTCACAGAGATCCACCTGGCTCTGCCTCCCAAGTGCAGGGATTAAAGGTATACACCATCATCGCCTGGCTCAACGGTAGTATTTTTATGACTAGCAAAGACTTTTGAAAACTTTAATGATTCGGTTTTGAGTCTCGGTTCAGTGGCGTATTAGTGGATACAATCTAAAAACAGACACTGTTGTTCCCAGCAATCACTAGTTCTTCATAAAGTACATACATAAAGCACACACTGAGCTCTGGCCTTGGTAAATAAAGTAGAGGGTGATCCCTGAAGATACCCAGCATCAACCTCAGGATTTCCACTTGATGCACACATGAATCTGCATACATGTGTACCCACACAAAAGAACACAATTACATACACTACAAACACATGTACCCCAGAAAGCTTTTTTCCCCAACAACATATGTTAATCATATTAAGAAAATTGTTTTGAAAAAGTCTATTATCAAACCTATACTCATGCCCTATCCCCTCTTCTCCAATTCCTCCCCTGTTCCTCGGCACTATCCTTACCCAGCCACAAGCCTAAGATTTGCCCAGCCACCAGTTCTTGGCCCAGTATCTGAGTTTTGGTACTAGGCATGAGTTTTGTTTTATAGAACTGGCCTTAAAGTATATCAGAAAATGACTGGTTACTACTTAACACTGTGGCCACTGTTGACCAGTGGGCGTATCTTGCTAGGCCAGTCATTCTTCACAGCTGGACAAGACCATTTCTCTTCTCCTTCTGGTGCATAGTACCCTCTGGTACCGCGATGACAGCCCGTGGGGAGGGAACATACAGGTCGGGACCAGACTGATGTTACCATATTCTGTGACACAAGTATGTGTCCTCTTTAGCAGCAGGGTCTGACCATCAAGTTTTGGAGGGTAACTAAGAGCAATGACAATAATCCTGTAATGTCTGAGGATCTATGGGACGTCACCAATGAGTTATGGTTTGAATTGGAAGATATACACCAGAATTAGAATATATAAATATATATATATAATTTATAAATATACAAACATAAAAGTCTTACAAATGCAATCAACTGTTTCAATTTATTTTGTAAGAAAATCAAAATGTCTACACTTGTCAGTTTAATTTTATTCTTAACTTATCAAGGTAATTTTTATCTTCTAGAAGGAACGAATTATACACAATTATTACTCATACAACATTAAGCCCATTACTCAGTCTAAATTCAACTCACAAGTATTCATGACATACTAGAAATAATGGAAATATTTTGACTACCCCTTTATAGCTCCTAGTTTTCTTAGTGAAGCTTTTTAAAATATAGGATACATTCTCAAATTCAAAACATTTTTTTTTCCAAAATAGTCATGCATTTTTATCATTCAAGACATGTTACTGAAGTCAAACCGTTCTCCTTCCATAAAGGTAACTCAGGCATGTGCAGTTTTAAATGAATGCCTGCCAGAAAGATTCAGTCTAAGTATGTGTGAAAATGGAGTAAGGAAAGCCACTGAGGTGCTAGGTTAGAAAAACAAAACAAAACAAAACAAAAAACAAAACAAAAAAACCCCACCAAAACCAAAAACCACATTTCAAGGGAAAAGTTACATTCCTTATGCCATCCTAACTTGAAAAGCTCAAACTGTGATTTTATTAACTGAAACTCTGGTAAGAGAATGTAACATTTGTATTTCAGCAGCATCAAGTAAGAAATCAAAGTGCCATGCTAGCTAACACTGGGACTCTGTCCAGGTCTCATGCTGGGTAGCCTAACAGCTCCGTACGCCGCATACATGCTTTCTAGAACCTACAACTCTTGCTCTCAGATGGTCCTATCGGTTCCTAGCGTTCATCATGTCGAAATGAATCTCCCCTGCTTCCACTCTTGACACTCAGAACACACTGTCAGTGTGGGAGCCACTGACCAGTCAAGAATGTGAAACACTGCTCCTGAGCCCCTCCTGCCCCATGCTACCCCTCATCCATTGCGAACCTGGGCCATTAATAGCCACATCTTCTATCTGGTCCTCACTTCCTCTAAGAAGTCTTCTCTAACCAACACACCTAGGTTGGTTCCATTCACAAGGTTTTTTACACCTGCCTCTTCACTGGCTTTTATTTCTTGCCAGGTGAGTTCTGTGTAGAAAGGGGCCATTATCTAGCTTACTCACAGGCATCCCCAGTCTTAGTGTCTGTCACGTAATAAGAAGTGGTTAAAGACATCGGGGAAAGTTACAGGAATATTTGAAAAGCAGCAGCAGTAACAATAACAATAAAAGCCTTATTTTACCACCTGTCATGTACAGACAAATCACTGCAGTTTAACCCATCTTACTTAAAGGGGAGGAGGCAGTTTGGGCAGCTTACTCAGAGGACACTTAAGGGCATCTGTCTGTGAAGTCATTCCTACACTTAAGTCTAGAGGGCTGACCATCTAAGGAAGTAGTGCGTGGCACTGATACAAATAGGTTCCTGTGATATCAGTCTGCCCAGAAGATGACAGAGTTTACTTCATTATATATTTTAGATAGCAATTTAGTTTTTGGTTAAATTATAACAAAATTTTAACCTTACTAAATTTTAAAATTCAATTTGAAAATATTTGTGAACACACATTAACTATCCCATGCAATAGCAAACAAAAAAGTAAAACCATAATACCAGGACTACTTCATATCATTTTTAATATAGAAAAAAAATGTATCTCAATTTATAATAGCAATATGCCTGTCATCTTATGTAAACTCTTCAGTGATTATGTTTTTTCTAGTTTACCATTTCACATTAACACTGGAGAAATAATCATTTCTATTATCAGAGATCTCAGGATTGAAGGGATCAGGGACAGAAGGGGAGGCATGACACCGTGAGAGGCCAGAGGAGGCCACTGCTGAAAGTACAGCCTTGGTTGCAGTTGGAGACCCAGGACACTGGAGATGCCAGGACTGTTGGACATCCACTAAGGACAAGCAGCAGGTGTGGAAGGGAGCTGTCCTGAGCCTACGAGATAAGCATGCATGCTATGGCTAGCAAAGTCAGGGAAGTAGAGATGCCAAAGCCCTTTGGAGCCAAGCTTACAAGTGAGTCCCAGATGTCCGGCACAGAGCTACCAGATCTCAGAATTACATTGCTGAACCTTGGTTTTACTTAAGTGTGATTATTTTTATGCCCTGGTTCTTTCCTCTTAGAGTAATAAAATATTTAACTTACTCTGTATTTTCCCGGAGCACAAACAAGAGATTTTTTTTAATTGTAAAGAGAAACTGAACTTTTAAATGATAGAATTTTTTAAAGACTGTGAGACTTTTAAGGCTGTACTGTATTTTATATCTAATATTAGCAGTAGGATCTTAGGGACAAATACGAAAGGAAAGGTTATGGTTTAGAGTGTTGTGTCAGAGTTAACAAGGGATGGGTTGTCATAGTTTCAGCTGTCAACCTGACACAGTTGACAAAGTGTTTACCCCAGCAACAGAAAACTAGCCAGAACACAGAATTTTTACTTAAACCTTTCTGAAAACTCTCCTCATCACCCACCTGGCAGGTTGTCCTCACAATTACATTCTTTAATTCTCTCTTTAAAATAAAGTCGCCTATCAAAGCCCCCAGAGGGGCAACAACTAATCAAACATGAATATTTATGTATAACTGCCACTCTAATTCTTAAAATTGAGGCTATCCCTGGGCTTTTATTTCACCTGCTTACTGTGGGACTAAAATGCTTCTTCCTAGAAGAGATGAAACTCTGAAAGTCATTTTTTAAAAGCCACAACTGCCAAAACCCTTTAAAAAGTTGTACTTCTCGGGGCTGGAGAGATGGCTCAGAGGTTAAGAGCCTATCCTTACAGAGGACCTGAGTTCAATTCCCAGCAACCACATTGTGGCTCACAACCATCTGTAATGAGGTCTGGTGCCCTCTTCTGGCCTGTAGGCATACATACAGGCAGAACACGGTGTAATAAATAAATAAATCTTAAAAAAAAAGTTATACTTCTCATCCCACCCATCCTAACTTCTTGTAATCGTATGTGTGATTAACTAGTAGTGAATCATCCATCCTAACTTCTTGTAATCATATGTGTGATTAACTAGTAGTGAGTCAACTAAGCAGTTTACTGGTCTTATCAAGAAACATGGTCTTGCACACTGTCCCTGCTGACACCACACAGCTTTACTTCATGAGTTCTTCTTCGATCACATTACCTGACTACCAGGTGGACATTTAGTTATCAACTAGACCCTGTTCTGATTTTGAGGGTTTTCCTACTGGCAGGACTATGGGATTTTTTTTTTTCTTAATCAAGCAAGAGAGTTTAGTTATGACCTCAAGTTAACTTAACATTCAGTAAAATAATTTAAGAATTTAAGCATATATGGGGCTGGAGAGATGGCTCAGAGGTTAAGAGCACTCCTCTTCCAGAGGTCCTGAGTTCAATTCCCAGCAACCACATGGTGGCTCACAACCATCTGTAATGAGATCTGGTGCCCTCTTCTGGCCTGCAAGGGCACATGCAGACAGAATACAGTATACATAATAAATAAATAGACCTTAAAAAAATGTAAGCACATCATCTTGAAATAAGACAATTATTTGTGCAGTAATTCATGTAATAAGTAGTGTTGCTTCCAGAAAAAATTTTTTTAAATGGAGGTTCACATTGTGTCCAGCTTAGAAAATTTTCCATGATTTAAAGTGTCTCCTTTTGATGATTTTTACCGTGGTTGCTAAGAGAGTAGAAATACTTGCACATGTTAAGTAACGTCATGTTTGTCTAAGCAATTGTTAATTATAACGATGACTGGACATACACACAGTTCCATTAGAGAACATTAAAATGAATGGAAGTCCACTTGAGGGGCAGATGGCCATTTTTGATAAACAGAACAGAAAAGCAGCCCCTTCAGTTGTAGGGGTGGCACACCAAGTGGGTCCATGACACAACTTTTGTTTGTCTCCAGTGTCTTAGAGAGAGAAAACAGAACATTACGTTCATATACAATTCTTGAGTTCTTGGTTGCTATTAAATCAAGTCTCTCAGCCACTGGCTAATATACAGGGGGAGCAACTACCATGAGAACAGAGAATGTGTTCTTAGAACCCAAACCTGAATGGATTCATGCCTATTTGTGACCTCAAAGGCTCTGAAGCCAGGTCGGGCCATCTCGATGCGTGTTACGACTGTGGTGGTATTTGTCTGGATTGACTGGTTAGAACAAGGCTTGGGCACATCCACTCTAACTATATTACTATGCATTTGTTTAGCAAGCAGAAGGCCAGCTATGGTTCAGAAGGACACAACCATTTCTTTGTTGCCAAGCTCTGCCGTAAGTGGAAGTTCAGGTTGTCTATCCTGTCATGGAAGTAAAAGTGGGAAGGCAGGCCTGGATCTGAATAGGTCCTTCCTAAGGATAGGTTCCTCCTTAGAAAGCTTTCCTAGTTGCTTCCTGTGCCTGCAGGAATGCTGTGATAAAAAGAGAATCCTATTCTTTTACCTTGTACATGTTAGCTAACTCAAGTGCCACTTAGACAACGAAGTCTGCCATGTTCAAGGTTCTGACACAGCGTTTGAAAGCAAGGCAACTGGGTATTTCTCCATCAGGTAGCAGATGGAACTATTGGTGATCACATTAAGCCAGCACACAGATGGGCTCCCCGACTTTCCCATATTTGAGAACTGTCAACTTAAGAAAGACACACAACAGGTGGTCTTACAAGGCAGATTTCAGCTCAGGGCTGGTTATGCAAGGCCAAAGGTTTCGTGTGTTAAGAAGATTAAGCAGGTAATCAAATCAGCTTACTTCAATAAGGGAATTATAAGGGAAAACTTCAGTAAGCCAAGAGTTCAGAAAAGTTAAAATATAAACCTCAGCATCAAATCACAGAGAAGCCAGGGTAGAAGTGAGTTTATGGGCTGATAGTAAGTATAAATTACAAATGATTTCAAAAACAAAGCAAACAAGAACACCCCTCTCCTGATGGGTTCTACTTTCCCATTTCTAACAGTTGGAAAGTTGGGAAAACACACCTACATAACAACTGTTTATTACTAAGAGAGTACAAAAACCCACACTCGATTCCTCTCTCTAATTTGTATACCTGCTTTTTTAACCAGGGAGCTGTCTGTGATGATGTGCGTGCTCTATCTAAGCTATTAAATACTGCAAACCCCCTGTCACATAGATATTTAATATCAGAAAAGAGGTTAGTGTGACCCAGGAACTCAACTGGGAATTTGGTTTCATTTTAGCCACTGAAATTTAACCACACCGGTTAGACCACTGACTAGGACGGGGTGGCTGTCTACAGACAACTGATTAAGGGGATTAGAATGAAGGACGACAAGGCTGGAAGCCCTACCGTCTTTTCGGAAGCCTCACCGTAATGGAGGACACTTAAGTTTGTAACCACACAGAATCAAAAAAGACTAGGTCTGTTTCCCAAGTACATTAAAACACCCCAAATCCAGGTAATTGAAAGTGGCACAATTAAATAAAATTACACCACACAAGGTTTTTTTTTTTTTTTTTTTTTT